CCAGTCACCTTCTTCATAATGTTTCCAAGGAAACCAAGGAAGCAAAAAGGCTAATGCATATAAAGGAGCTCCATATAAAATTGAAAACTGGCGTCTTGAGCAGCACGCAAATTTGGAGTTATCTTGAATATACCCAAAAAGAGGATCATTAATGGCATTCCATATCATAAATACAACCTGTGACAAAGAAGTAAAAAACACAGCAGAATTTATCATTAGTGTGATTTTTCTGCAGATGTTATACAAACACAGAAGTAATACACACCATATTTATTTAAAATAAATCTGTATTCAAAGAATAAAGAAAGATGAAAGCTTCTCAGGTCAAAACAGACTCCAGGCAAAATCCTTAAAGGATTATAGTAATTTTGAAAAACAAGATGAATAAGTAGGCAGGTGTCCAACTACATGTGAAAAAAAACCCTGTCTCTAAGTCTTCACTCTTTCAAAAGCTTATATATCTGGGGTTTCATCTTGCAAAGCCCAGATACTACTCTCACAGCAAGTAATTCAAAACATGAGCTGGCCCATTACTTTCAGGAGACCATTTATGACAAGAGTTGCTTACATGGATAACAACTTACAGAATAAATGCAGTAGTTAAGTACTTAAACAGTCTGTAGGAAAGCACTAATGTCAAACATACCTATGGAGCTGAGGTGCAAGATTAATTCAGAACATTGCTTCAAGCTACCAAAGGTAACAATCTTTCCAGCAATTAAATTCTGGAGTTTTTTAGTCTAAAGACTGTAAACAATGTGCTTTATGTGTACGTTCAATTGCTTATGGATTAACTACATTTAAAATTAATTTACTGTATAACTATTTGCAATGCATCCAAAATTAATTTGTAAGTCAAAAAATGACTTTGCTATGATAACAGACACATAGCACAACATGGTAATCAAAATATTCCATTGTACAATACCTGTGCTTGATGAAATGCTACTTCTGAAATTTTGTATCGGTTTAAGAAAAGCTTAACGTAGTAGAAATTAAAGATACTGTTCATCATTCCAGCACCTAATGTAGTCATGGAATATGCCAGTGCATTAGGATGAATTCCCAAAACAAACTTCATCTTCCACAAGTACAACTCTCTTCTTCCTCAAGTTGCAAAAAAGAATTACAGAATCATGGTACAATCATTTTCCAAATTAAAATGACATCAGAGATTTCCTTGTTTCAGAGGTGTAGAAATGGATTCTTAGCGGAAAATTTCCCCATTCTTACTTCCTTTTTCTAAAATGAGAAACACATTTTACTGAGTTATAAGACACTGAGCACAAAACTGAATAGATGCAAAGTATTAAGAAGTCAATGACATCTAAATATAATCAGTGCTTAAAAATCAATGCAACAGGTAGACAAAAATTTAAAAGAATCCCTTCTTAATCGGTGCACACACTCAATATAAAAGTCTCCTATTGCAAACACAATTCTTCATGTAGAGTTCAAAGTAATTGCACACATTTTACATCTTTCTTGGTAGCTACATTAAAATTATGGACTGTGTAGGAATGAAGTGACTCAATTCGTAACCTTATGTATTCCATTGCTATGAATGTCAAATACAGCATGCACTTAGATGAATATTTCTTTCAAACAAATACCAAGTTTTGTCCTTGTATTTTTAAATGTTAATTGTTAACAAGCCATGGAAGCAATACTTTCACCTAATAAACTAATGAGATATGAATAGAAACCATAAAACAATCAAAACACCTTTTAATAGTTTAAACATTTTCATTGTATAAAAGACTGCATGTAAATAAAATCTAGCAAGTAACACATGTACAGCACCTCAAGTATGTCCAAATAACAAGAGATTCAGCCCAAGAATATAGAGTTCTTTAACGTATCAAACAGATCTTCAGCCAACAATTTTTTTAATATGTTGACTTTTTCCATCTATCTAGCAATTAACTTAAGCATGTTTGGTATCAACTATCCCATGAAAACAGCTAGCTCCAGGGAACCTCTACCTTTTAAAGCAGAGTAATGACTACGTAAATGTAGTCTTCGACCACATTTGATTCTATAAGCCCAATACAAAAATACTTCTCCCTAGTATCTGTTTTTAACTGAGGCTTTATTCATCTTTACATCTACTTGAAGGAAGCTGTCTGCCATTAATTTGGAGATACTTCAGGTTCAAATTTCAGCCTTACTATGGCACACTAACTCCAGAGCTTTACAACCTGCTTTTTGTCAATACTCCACACTTTGCCATTCTGCATATTAACAATTTTATCCTATATGCAATTTTCAAAAATCCATCAAAATACTTAGTTTGAATATCTGCTTGTTCAGCTTGATAAGCAGATCTATAAGCAGCTCCCTGAACTCCTCGTAAAAATGACCATGAAAGAGACAGGAAATGAAACCCAAGGCTGCTTCCAACCTTCCTGTGTTTTTTTTACAAAGTGGCTGAAAACAGGCTCCTGTGAGGGAAGATGGTAACTTCCTAACCGCCAGGCGAGGGCCAGGCAAAAGCCATGCATCAGGTCAGGACTGGAGAAGTGTCTGTTCTGGCTAAGGCAGATGATGGAACAGTTTTCCACCCCCCAACACAGAAAATGAACTCTCGAAGAGCAAATAAAATGCGGCTGCATTTTTGTGTATATGTTTAAGATGCTCTAACATGAAACAAAATGCAAAGAGTAGATAACTTCACTTTACAGGTGAGAAAGATAATGAAGCTGACAAACAACTTGAACCAAGTTTTTTCTAAAGCCAATTTATTTGTAAGAATATGACTGAATTTTTAGATACTTGAGGACGATTGTGATGTATATTTTCAAGTTCACTTGTCACAGAGCTACAGCTATAGAGACAATTCCATTTTCAGGTGATGAAATTTTGCATTTTTGTAACAAGTTTGGTTTCACAAACATACTGAGAAACTTGAAATGAATAAGGTTATTGAAAAGATGCCCATTTGAAATGTTTATTTTTAAAAATCAGTTTGATATTACTAACTGTGAAAGTCATTACTGTGTGTTATTGACAAGTGTCACTTTTTTTTTTTAAGTACACGTTCAAGCCTTCACAAATATACTTAAGTGATTTATGTAGTAGATATTAGGTCTTTTGGAAAGGTAGATATTTCGTGACTATTTCTTCCTGGAGTCCCCTGCACAGGTTTTCGAATAGAGAATTGGGAGACTCTCCTTTCCCTTAAATTCCATGAGCACCAAGAATAAGTGTGCTTCACACTAACAGCACCAGCAAACTAACAGTCATTTCTCAAATCATGTTTGAATCAATTCCTTCCCACACACAAATTAAAAAAAAAAAAAAGGTGCCCTCAGCTTCAGAAAATTTGAAAGTAAGAAATTTGAAATTTCGTTAACAAAAACCTTCTAACAATGTGCAAACAGGCCTCTAGTGCCATGACTAAGTATAATACACAGGATCTGACACAACTCTTTACACTAATTGGTACATCTGACCCTGTACCTTGTTTACGAAATAGGTTCAATTAGAAGCTTAGGTACCACACTTCCTTTCCCAGAAGATGTGCTCTTTAATTGTACTACAATGAAATCATGGATGAGTATCCCCTCCCTCTTCTTAAGTCAGCCTTTACATTGAGTAGGTTAAAGCACAGGTGTTGACACTTTGTGACTCACAGAAGGCAAGTCACAGTTTCAGAAATTTCTAGTGGTTACAACTGTGTTAATACAGGTGAGCCAAAAGAAGAGACTGTTTAAACCAGTGAGGCGCAGTATGACATTACTTGCACTTCTCCCAGAGCTGGATGACAATCACTAAAAGAAACTAGAGCATGCGTCTAAAGAAGAAAAGTGGATTCCTGAGCAGTAATAAATTTTGACTGAAGCACGCCAGCTGACATCATGCTCTGCTCTACTGGGTCCCAAACTGCAGCGTAATGCTCACCGTCCTGACAAACTGGTTGGACACCAGTCTCTTCCTCATCTTTCTTCCATGACTTGAACCACATTAAGACACAACTAAGAATAAACGCTTTCCTAGTCCTGAGGGGTAACACTAAGAGGGAATGCTGCTGAAGCAGAGGGGAGATGCAAACGGAGAGCACTTGGAGAGGGAGGGCAAGTGGAACTGGTGGAGTGCCGCCACTCTTCCCAGCCCGCCGTGCTATGGCTGCCCAAGCGCTGTAACGCTGCGACTCGAGGAAGGCAGCGGGCTCTGGAAACTTGCAGCACTGGAAGTTTGGAGGTGCTCGTCTGTTACAACCGGGCAAATCAAGCCAGTTTCTCCTCAGCAGCTCCCCCGATACGGGACGCGGCTCCCTCTTCGTTGTACGGCAAAGAGGCGAGAGCCAGCGGCGACCGCCCCAGCGACACGCGGGGACGGAGGCGGCCGCTTTCAGACGCGACAGCAGCTGCCACGGCTGCAGGCTCCAGCCGGGCCACGCTCTCCCCTCCTCTTCCGCGCTCCGGCCCCAAGGCTGGCTGGGGAGGCGGCGGGGGAAGGCGGCCCACACCTGGGCGCGACGCCGGCGAGCAGCCGCGGCTCGGGGGCCGAGCCCCTCCTCACAGGCTGTTCCCTCAGCGCTCCTCGGGGGGCTCCCGAGACGGGGCGACTGGGAGCCGCAGCTCTCCCTACGCCTAGTCGCGCTGCGCTGCCCCACCCCGGGCTGTGCCGGCTCTGCTCCGCCGCAGACCCACCGGAATACCCCACAGCAACCGCTCCCCGCCATTAACCCTTCAGAGCCCCAGCAACCACCGCCCCCTTCCACGGGCACCAACCCACCTCCTCTGACTGGAGGCTGCGCAGCCGGCTGCTGGGGCGGGGCGTAATTAGCCCGGGCCAACCTTCTCTTCGCTCTCATTGGCGGCTTGATACGGGTTCGCTTTATGACTGGCGTAGGCTCCTTTCGATCTGTCCGGCGGGCGGCTTCCCATTGGCTCCCCGCCGGGGAGGTGAGGGTGTTGTGTTTGAATCGCGGGGAGACGGTGGGCGGGTGGCTGTAGCTTGCCACGTTGCCGCCGGCAGCTTCGCGCAGCCCGACCAGGAGGGGGAGAGGTTCGGCAAAGTCCGGAAACGCTCGGCAATGGCCGGAGGCGGCTTTTAAGGAGAGGAGCGGCTGCCGGCTTTGCCCTGCCCTGCCCCGCCGTCGCTCGGCGCGAGGGGACTCGTTCGCCTGAGCGCTGCCGCCTCGTCCTCCCGCCGCGCCGTGAGGGGAAGGGGCGCGATGCTGGCCGACAGCCTGGTGGAGGAGTTCGAGATCCGCGAGGATGAGCCCTGGTACGACCAGCAGGACCTGCAGCAAGGTGAGCCGGGGCGGGGGGAGAGGGAGCGGGGGCGGGGGGAAGCCGTCGCCGCGGGGGGCGTGTGAGGGAAGGGGCTGTGGCGAGGAGGGCGTTGGGAGGGAAGGGGTCTCGGGGAGCCGTCGCCGCGGGGGGCGTGGGAGGGCAGGGGCTGCGGCGAGGAGGGCGTGTGAGGAGGGAAGGGGGCTGCAGCGAGCCGCCGCCGCGGGG